TTCATATTTAAGGAAACATGAAAAGCTTATTGGATCTATCAACTGATAAGGGTAAATAAAATCTGGTATAACCATACAATGAAATATTATTCAGCAAGGATATATACTATAACATGAATGAATCATGAGCATATGATGCTGAGAAAAATCAATCACAAGACATCATGATCACTTGTAAGTCCATTTTCGAGAAATGTTCAGAACAGATAAATCTAAAAAAAAAAAAAAGATAAATACGTTAGTGATTGCCTAAGGCTGAGAAACTGAGAAATGACTGCTAAAGGCTATAAGGTTTCTTTTTAGTTTGATGAAAAATTTCCAAAATTGATTCTGATCATGCTGGGCCTGGTGGCACATACTTGTAATCCCAGCACTTAGAAGGCTGAAGCAGAAGGATTGCTGTGAGTTTGAAACCAGCCTGGGCTACATAGTGAGTCCAAAGCCAGCCTGAACCTCATAACAAGATTGTCTCAAAAAACAAAGCAAAACCAAAATTTTAATTCTGGAGCTAGGGATGTGGCTCAATGGCAGAGCTCTTGCCTTGCATATACAAGGCCCTGGGCTCGATCCCCAGCACCACCAAAAAGAAAAAAAAAAAAGGGGGATGATAGTTGTACCACTCTGTAAATATACTAAAAATCTGAGACATTTTAGATATGTGAATTGTATATTACATGAATTATATCTTAGGGGCTGGGGATTTAGCTCAGTAGCATAAGCTCCTGCCTTGCAAGTGTGTGGTCGTGAGTTTGATCCCTGGTACCAATTAAAAAAAAAAAAGAATTATCTTAGTAAAGCTGTTGCATAAAAACAAAAGTTGATCAGAAGTGACATCTACATGCTATGTGTGATGTGTGTGTGTGTGTGTGTGTGTGTGTGTGTGTGTGTGTGTGTGTCTTTTTGAGACAGCGTCTTACCATGCAGTTCAGGCTAGCCTTGAACTCATTTTGTAACCCAGGCTGGCCTCAAAGTCACAGAAATCTTTTTGCCTCAGCCTCCTGACTGCTGGACTTGCAAGTGTGCACCACCATGCCTGGCTGTGTGTGATTCTTGACTGAAGATTGTATCAGGATTTGAATCCTGGACCATCTGTGAAAAATATTATTAGAGCAATTAGAGACATTAGAATACAGCTGTATATTAGCTAATGTTTTTGAAGATGTTAGTGTTAAAGTTCTTGAGTGTTGTGATTATGTAGGAATGTGACCTTATCTTAGAAGATACATATTGAAATATTTAGAGGCAAAGTATCATAATAGATGCAGCTTCACTTTAGATTAAGCTCAAATAAAAAGATGTAAAGCAGTTATTAACAACAGTGTCAGTTGTCACTGTTATTCTTGTTACTTTCCTCTAGTTTGAAAACCTCCAAAATAAGAAGTTAAGGGAAGAAAGTACATTGCTACTCATTTGAAGTCAGATTTGTGGTCCATATTATTGCTGTGAGAATTCACAATTTTCCATCTTATTCATTCCTTGTTTTAATCATACTTATTTTTTTTGTTCCACTTATAAACATGCTTACCAAGGTTTTAAAAATTACAGAAAATAATATTTGCATTTGATAAATAAAAAGGGTTAAAAAAGGGTTTGAAGCTGAGTATGGTGGTGCATGCATCAGGAGGCTGAGGCAGGGGATCCTTGCAAGTTTGAGACTAGCCCCGGCTGCAAAGTGAGCTTAAGGTCAACCTGAGCTACATAGTAAGACCCTGTCTCAAAAAGAGTGGGAAGGGGGGCTTGAGAGCACAGCAGGTATGGCCAGGGCTTTTCGGCTTTATGGGCCTCATTGTCAGTAGCTCCAGATTGCAGTCAGGTCCAGGAACTCTAAATCTTCTTTCTGTGACTCCTGAGTTTCCCCAGAGACAAATCCTCTGGTGTCTACCCCCATTCAGTAAGCGTCACTGCTGGTGAGTGAGGGGGAGGACAGTGCTGCTGGTCTTGCCATTGAGTGTGTAGATTTCCACAGTCTCTCTTGTTTTCCAGGTGACGTTTTTGCTGCTCCCTTTGGTGGTATCTTGTATGACAAGGTCCAGAGCCTCTGTGGTGTAACTGTTATATGACTTTAACTTTTATTTCTTTTGGGGTAAGGAGCGGTAGTTGCCCAGCCTGTGGTTAGAGGAGGAGATGTGGAGTTATAAACGTGCTTTCTGGAGACTTCTGTCTTACTCTCCTGCTTTCACTGTGCTCACAGTGTTTCAGACACCTGCTACCTCCATCTTTGCATGCTTTCCTGGTTGGTCACTGTGGCTCACATCAAGTTATGTTTGGTTTTTTGTCTATCATCTGTTGTAGAAAATCTTTGTGCTTTTGCCTTTCTCAGTTGCGAAGTCAGCTACTGCTTGTTCGTCCTTCCAAAATGTCATTAATACAACAGTTTAGCAATACTTAGTGTCTTAAGGTTAACATCGGCCAGATGCAGTGGTACATGCCTGTAATCCCGGCGATTGGGAGACTGAGGCAAGAGGGTCCCTGTGAGTTCAAGGCCAGCCTGACCTACATAACGAGAGCCTGTCTCAAAACTAAAAACCAAAAAGTTAACATTATTGTGTGATAGTATTCTAGGAATCAAATTATTAGTTTTCTACGAAGATTTCTGATTTGTTGTGACCCTGTTAATTCTTTGTGCCTCGTTTCTTTTAAAAACATTTTTGAGATATAATTTATATATAATATTCACTTAAAGTATATGAATAGTAGACTTTAGTACATTTACAAAATGCACTACGTCATAATCTGATCTTAGAACATTTTTATTACCTCTCCAAAAAGACACCCCATTAGCAGTCATTTCCCATCTTATCCTAAAACTCCAGCCACAAGCAGCCGCTAATCTGCTTTCTGCCTCTGGATTTGTCTCCTCTGGACATTGCATATAAATAGAATTGTATAATGTGTAGTTTTTTGCAGTTGGCTTCTTTCATTTCTCATGTTTTATGGTTCATCATACTGTAGCATTTATTACTTCATTTCACTTCATGGTTAAATAATACTCTACTGTATAGATATCCATTGTTTATCCATTCATCAGTTGGTGGGAGAGTTGGGAGCTTTTTGACTAATATGAATAATGCCACTGTGAACATCTGTATGTGAGTTTTAGGGTGCATATGTATTTTTTCTCTTTTGGATATATACCTAGTGGTGAAATTGCTGGTTTGTATGGTAACTTTATGTTTCACTATTTGAGGACCTACAAGGCTTTGTTCCAAAACACCTGAAACATTTTATATTTTCCCCAACAGGGAATGAGAGTTCCAAATTTACCCATCTTCACCAACACTTGCAACTGTCAGTCTTTTTGATTAGAGCCACCCTGTAGGTCAGAATTGGTATTTCACTATGGCTTCAATTTAAATTTCCCCAGTGAGTAATTACCCTGAATATATTTTCATGTGCTTGTTGGCATTTATATATCTTCTTTGAAGAAACATCTATTTGGATCTTTTGCCTATTGGTCATTTATCTTTTTATTATTGAATTTTAAGAGCTTTTTATATATTTTATACACTGGTCCCTTATTAAATACATGATTTATAAATATTTTCTCTCATTCCATGGGTTGTCTTTGCATTTCTTTGAGGGAATCATTTGAAGCACAAAGATTTTTTTATTTTGATAAACTCCAAATATCTACTTGTTTCATCACTTATGCTTTTGGTGTCACATCCAAGAAATCATTGCCTAACCGAGGTCAAGGTCTTGTTTTCTTCTAATAATTTACTATTTAAGCTTTTGCATTTAGCTGTATAACCCTTTTGCAGTGGATGTTATGTGTGTCGTATCAGTTAGGAAGCCAGATCCATTCTTTTCTGTGTGGACACCAGATGTCTCAGCACCATTTCCTAAAAGTACAGTTATTTCCTTACCATTTGACAATTAGTGTTAAAAAGCACTTTGAACTCTTCACATTCAGGCACACTCTTCACAGTGGGAGATGGGTAAGTAGATTATTGACCGAGGTGGGAAATTGTACCCAAACTTGTTTCATGTATCTTGAAGGCATAAAACATCCTTACCAATAGAATTATTTATCTGGCTTGGTCATTGAGGGCAAATTAAAGGAATATTAAAGTCATGACATCCTTTGTTGAAAAAAGCTATTAATTTTAATTTTTGACTACTGTTTTTGGAGTTTTGTTTGTTTGTTTTTGACAGTCTTGCTATATAGTTTAGGCCAGTCTGATCACAAACTCATGGCAATCCTCCTGCCTCAGCCTCCTGAGTTCTGAGTTCTCCACCATGCCCAGCTTGACTATTTTTGATCATGACCAGCTTACATGTTATTGGTTGGTTAGAAGAGTTGACTTACCATTATTAAATAAATTTAGGGCCCTGTGTCTTTTGGCTTGAAGCCTCTGATTAAAACTGATTTGTTTCTCTTGTTTTTAGTGTTTTATTACCAGGTATTACAAATTATTCTGATTGAGTCACATAGCCTCTTGATTTTAGCTGTTCTATTTCTTTTTTTTTTTTTTTTTTTTTTTTTTTTTTCTTTTTCATTTTTATCGGTACCGGGGATCAAACTCATGACTGCCTGCTTGCAAGGCAGGCGCTTATGCTGCTGAGCTAAATCCCCAGCTCCTGATTTTAGCTGTTCTAGAGGGTCCTGTCATGTCCCCAAAGTGAATTGTGTATGTTCATTGTCAGATTTAAGTTTCCTCTTCCCAAACTTTAGAAAAATCCGCCAATCAGTTTGGTAGCAAATAAAAAGAAATTGCACTGTTTTATATAGATTAAGATTTTCCAGTATACAGTAAATGATTATTTTAGCTATTTTAGTTAAACACAGAGGGAACATGAAAGTTCAGTTTACTAATCTATTTACTGTTACATAGTTTGAAATTTTAGATGCTAAAAGGTTTTTAAGAACTATGTGGTATCTAGGTTATCACATATTTTGAATTAAGATGCTAAAAATGGTCTACTCATTGTGATTGACTCTGAAGTTGCTCTCGCTGCCTCGTCCTCTAGAGTTCACTGACATCTCACTTTCTCTGCAGGTGACTTATGCTGCCAGGGATGCCCAGATTTCAGTGGCTCTCTTCCTTCATCTTCTCGGATGCCCTTTCTCTAGGAATTCTCCTATGGAAGCAAGCATTGACCACGTTGGCTGGAGAAAGGTCTTGGAGAAATGCTGGGATGTGATAGACATCCCATTCCGAAGCAAAGGAATTAGCAGCTTGGGAGAAGAAGTGAGCGGAAAAACAACAGAATCTCAGCAGAAGCCAAGAAGTAAGAAGTCGAAGAGCAGTGGCATGGTGCCGGGCGCCCACCAAGGGAGAGACCCCAGGAAAAATAAAAGGAAGCCCCTAGGGGTGGGCTATTCTACCAGGTAAGCGAGTTTTCCCTGGCTGGAAGGGTCAGGGAAGCCACAGAGAGCTTGTGACGCTTTGCCGTGGGCCTGGGAGTGGCTTGGGTCAGGAAGTTGAGGCTCTCCTTCCCTGCCTTTGGGGACATTTGGATGAGCCTTGCTTTACTTGTGTGTTTTTCTTCTTTTGCTCTTCTGTTTCTTATCAGTTGAAGTGGAGGAGAGGTGAGTGTAGTCTAGCTTTGTCACTGAGCCTACAGTGACCTTCAATCTGTAACTTCTCCTTCTATACATGGGAGTCTAATTACTATTCTTTGTTTAGCATAGTTGTAAAAATGAGTAAGATGAAGTACCTTGCTTTTCAGGAGGAATGGATCATGAAATTTCTTCCTCATTTGGTATTTTTGATGTTTTAGAATGACATCCATCTCTAAGCCTCTTTTTTCTAGGGAATGAGAAGTTTCTTGCATAGTGGTAGCTCTGTTGTAGGTTGATATGACTAAGTTTGCTCTCTGCAGAAAAATGCTTTAGTTGGGTGATTTACTGAAGGAACTATTATTGTATATGAGTAATAAATGAATCTGGGGGCTGGGGATTTAGCTCAGCGGCATAAGCACCTGCCTTGCAAGTGCATGGTTGTGAGTTCAATCCCCGGTACCGATAAAAAAAAAGAAAGAAATCTGCATGGCCCTTGTTACTTTGGCATGAACTTTTATGGTTTTAATTTACTTTGTTTAATCTAGGCATTGGTAGTTTTTCTTGTTGCTGTGTTCCTGTTGCATTCACAGCAGAGCTTACTCCTCGTTCCAGTGTAGTATAAAAACAAGAGGCACCAACAAATTCATTTTAGTCCTGCTTCCTGACCCGGTGCTAGTAGAGGACAGAACATGGCTTCTTGTTCTGTTTGTTTACATACTTGGTATGTCTGACCCTGATGCTGAGTGTAGTTTAAGTCTTTCAGAAGAGAGTATGGGAAGGTAGCAGGTTAACTTTCATGTGAAGTCTCTCTCCCTTCCCTGCAGAAAGTCACCTCTTTATGATAACTGCTTTCTCCATGCTCCTGATGGACAGCCTCTCTGCACCTGTGATCGAAAGAAGGCTCAGTGGTATCTGGACAAAGGCATTGGAGGTGTGAGATTCTGCTGTTGTGGTTTATCTATAATTCAGTGCATATGGGTTCTGGCAGGAGTGGGGTGAGGGAGAAGGATGGACTGAGGAAGGTAGGGAGACGGAGGCTTATGGAACTGACCAGCTGTATCCCAGAAATAGTGTTCTCTGCCAACAGTGGGGCACACTCAAGAGAATACATTTTTCTGGGGAAGAGGGAGGGGGCAGTCCAACACTGATACTGCTTCTTTTCTCTAAGAGCTGGTGAGTGAAGACCCTTTTGTGGTCAAGCTACAGTTTGAACCTGCAGGGAGACCTGAGTCCCCAGGAGACTATTACCTGATGGTTAAGGAGAACGTGTGTGTAGTGTGTGGCAAGACAGACTCCTACATTCGGTGAGTGTGGCAGGGGCTACCCCGGTTGTCTGCTTTGGATGGAAATGTCCTTCATAGCCCATGCAGGGCTCTCAGAGTCTGCCCACTCTTGGCTGAGAGGCTCGGCTCTGGGGGCATCCCTGTTTACCTAAGAGCCTCCACACTCTGCCTGGCTACCTCTGATGGCCCTTATCCCTCCTGGGTCAGCTCTTGCCTCTGGGATGCAATGTAATTCTCAGTAATAATAAGGATCTGCTATGGAGAAAGTGGTTCCCTTCTGCTCATGAAGGACTGAAGACTACTTTCTCTAGAAATTGGGTTCTTACAACTCTCCTTTGAAATTTTCAACAAACATGAAGCTCTCCTTTTAAGCCTCCTCACAGAACATGCAAATGCCCCAACAACTGCTCCTTCATGTCCAAGTCCCCACACACTGAAGGTGAGGCTGCCCGCTGGCCCTGAGGGCCCGCACTCAAGCTTCCTCCAGGACTTCTGTGCAGTGATTCACTCTCCCCTTGCAAAATGAAGCAAATAGTTGTCTCCCAGAGTTTTACCTGAGAGTTTATTTCTCCTTTAAAAATACTGATGGACCCAAGTGAACCAGAAAAATAATGGCAGAGTAAGGGATTCTCTGATGAAAGAAATTGGCTTGTTCAGGTCATCAGGCTTGAGAGAGTTGTTTTCTGGATGTCAGAACCTGTTAGAGCATCTTTTCATTTCTCTGAGGCTTCTGTATCTGAGAGTGAACTGTCTCAAAGGTGATTATTAACCTTTCCCTGCCCCAGCCCTCCACTGAAACAGGTGGCTGTCTTCAAGGAGAGAGAACTCTGAAGCACAGGGAGGCATGCGAGACACCGTAGGGCTGAGAGTGGAGCAGTAGTGTTGTCTTCATATAATCTCTGTTGGCTGTGGTATCCAAGGCTTCTCAGTCATGTTTAAGTCCAGGATAGACTCCCAGCAGCCCACATGCTGGCTTCATGTGTGTCCTTCTGTGTCCTGTGCTAACTAGCGTGCTGTCTGGGGGGGCTCGTTCCAGGAAGAATGTGATTCCGCATGAGTACCGGAAGCACTTCCCCATTGAAATGAAGGACCACAACTCCCATGATGTGCTGCTTCTCTGCACTTCGTGCCATGCCATCTCCAACTACTATGACAACTATCTGAAGCAGCAGCTGGCCAAGGAATTCCAGGCCCCCCTTGGCTCTGAGGAAGGCTTGCGGCTGCTGGAGGATCCTGAGCGCCGGCAGGTGCGCTCTGGGGCCAGGGCCCTGCTTAACGCCGAGAGCCTGCCTGCCTATCGGAAGGAGGAGCTGCTGCAAGCACTCAGAGAATTTTACAGCACAGATGCCATCACAGATGAGATGCTTCAAGAGGCTGCCAGCCTGGAGACTAGGTACAGCCCTTCCTGTCAGAGGAGGGGTTGGGGAACACTCCAATGACGTGAACCCTCACTACTTCCTGAGAATACTTGCTAGGACAGGAGCAGCACCTAGCTGCATACTTAGCTCACTAGTATCTAGTGGTATAAGACACTATGGGGATGTCCAAGAATGATCTGTTTGGGACTTTTATTAGCACAGGGGATTTGCCTTTCATGAGGGTATCCTTTAAGCCCTAAGGTCATATATTTCAGTCCAGTCATTTCATGATTAGCATGGGAGTACAAATGTGAAGTTGCATCCTATGTGTTCTGTGCAGAGGTAGATCCTGATGTCAACACGTGAGATAAAACAATTTTTTAGTAATACCCTGAAATTTCTGAAGTTGCCCATGAAGAACAGTGTGTGTGATTTTGTGTCTCTGGCCCTCTATATAGGTTGATGAGCACTTCGACCAGAGGGTTCCATTTCTTATCTCATCTGCACCCCAGGATATTAGCTCACTGAATGGAATGTTGAGCAGAGTTGCTGTTCTAGCAATTTTCCCCCCTTTTTCCTTCCTTCCTAGCTTCTCCTGCCTCCCAATAAGTACATAATTAAATTAATGTGGTGTAACTCAGTGTTCTTATGATCCTGAGAAATGAATAGGTGCCTGGCTCAGATGATATAAGAACTCTGGGCTACTGTACATAATGTTGCTTCCCAAATGTCACTTTTTAGGAGTAGAGGCCCATAAAACCTGATATGATACTAGTTTTCTGTAGTATTTTGTATCAATAAATAAACTTTATAGCAGCAAGATATTTATGCAAACACGAAAGGCTTTATTTTATGCATGCTACTAATCTATCATAGATATTGCAAATATTTACTGAGCAGATATAATATTTATAGATATACTGTGCTATGTACCACAAGTTAATAAACTTTAAATAAATTGCCTTAATTTTCTGATAACAACCTGATAAGATAGGATTTAGATTTATTAGTAATTAGTGATATTATATCTTAAATTATAAAAAAACTTTGAAAATTTAAAAAAATTATAGTTAAATTTTATCCCCATAACTGTTTTGTGCATTTATAGGATAAATATTGTTTCCTAAGTTTTATATTAGATATTGTGAGATTAAAGATAAGTAACTTGCTAAGATCATATTAAAATCAATGAGACTGGCTCCATCGCTTAATTCCCAAATGAAATTTCTAAAATAACCCCTCACACTTCATCCATGCCTAGACCTCTCTGATGAAGGTCTGCATCTTGCTGAATTGGACAGACAGGCGCTGGATTGATGCTGAGAACAGGTATTTGGAGACAGGCCAGTCCGTGGTCTCTAAGTTAAATGATAAAGCATTTGCAGATATGCAGAGAGCACCAACTTTGCTGGACTCCACGGGATGGCGGGAGGGAGGACTAGGAGTGGAGAGTGGGAGGAGTGGTGCAGAGTGCTTCCTTGGGAAAGGTCACCGTTCTTCCATGGGGGAGACACTGTTCACCTGCCTTAGAGCAGTTTCCGGGTCCTCTGACCACCTGTAAGAAGGAGCAGGGCTCTGTCTCCTCTTTAGCAGCACCATTCATGCAGCTGCGCAGCCAGAAGAGCATTTCAGTCTGACTGTCCATGAACTCTGTTACTTACCTTGTGGGAAAAAGCGCTAAAGAAGAAGAACACCATCTTGTACTGGCATTTAGGTGTCACAGTGTTGTGAAAACCAGGACCACATGAGGTGATCTGCTTTCTCAGTCCTGGCATATGAATCTAGGAGTTACATTCTCAGCCCTTTTTATTTTATTTTTTTAAATTTTGAAACAGGGTCTTGCCTTATATCCCAGATGGGCTTGAACTTACGCTCTTCCTGCCTCAACCTCCTGAGTAGCTAGGATTACAGGATGGTTTCACAGCCTCTGTTTAATACTTAGAAGGGTTCAAAATAAATAAAAAAGAGTGGTCATTGAGTAATTTTGTACTAAATAAAAGATCAAAACTTTGCACCCATCATCACCCAGACAGTAGGACCATCCTGGTGGTGGCAGAATATTATACAATGGCCTCCCTCCAAGTATAGCTAGAGCTCCTGAACATCTTCCATAGGATTGCAACCTGTACGTCCAAACGATTGAAAGAAAGCAGAGCTGAACACATTGGGGTTTGGCTGTAGTTCCAGGACTTAGGGGGCCGAGGCAGGAGGACTACAAGTTAAAACCACCTGGACAACATAGTGAGAACCTCTCTCAGAGAATAAAAATTGCTGGGGATGTACCTCCACATAAAGGCACCAGGTTCAATCCCAAACATCACAAATAATAATTAGAAGAAGAGCAGAGATGAGAAAGTTTTGAAAACATTCAGGTAGCCATCCCTGAAGGAGTCCAGCCACTTCCTTATATGCCCTCAGCCTGCAGCATCAGCATCGAGGCTGTGTCGGAGAACATCGTGTGCTCCTTTCCCTCACAGCCTTCACACTTTGTGTCTTGGCAGGATTTTCAACGGAAGCTATGTTCCACACGGACTGAAGGTGGTGCAGTGTCACGCCCGCGGTGGGCTGCGCTCCCTCATGCAGCTGGAGAGCCGCTGGCGTCAGCACTTCCTGGACTCCATGCAGCCCAGGCACCTGCCCCAGCAGTGGTCGGTGGACCACAACCATCAGAAGCTGCTGCGCAAATACAGGGAGGATCTTCCTGTGCAGCTGTCGTGATTGCAGCTTTCCACCCAGGCAGGATGGGTGGGAAGCTACAGCCGAAAGTTGAAAAGTCACCTCTTCTGTTTTAATACATCATTGTCACAGCCTGGGTGACCCAGTGCAGTCCTAACCTTTTCTAGTCCCAGGTGCTTTCAAGGGAGCAAAGCTCTCGTTTTAAGTTAGGGGAGCTTATGGTTTTGCATTTTCATTGGTCACAATATTTTTTTCTTCCTCTATTATTTTTGTGGGCAAGGGAGGCCTGGCCTTTCTTTTCACTCTTTGTCTTGCCCTTTGAAGAGGGAGAATGAAGGCTTCCCCCGACGTGGCTTGTCAAGACTGAGGATACGAGTGAAACAGATTCTTCCCTGTCTGCTCTGGTGTTTCCCTAAGAGCAGATGTCTACTGCGGCAAGCTTGTCAGGTTAGGAGGGAGAAAATGTTCTTACAGAGGTAGAAAAAGTGGCTAAGGAGTCACATCTATTTCCCCAGTTCAGCCTCAAAAGTCTGACTTTCCTTGCTCTGCTGTAATTCATCTGGCGGGGACCCAGCCACCTGGGTTGCTTTGGTTTTTTCCACATAGCTGAAAGTGCTCCCCTTTACACATCTGGGACCAAAGCAGCAATTTCCTGCCTGTGCTTCCGCCTGCCATGAGAACCCGCTCCTGAAGTAAGCCTTCAGCCTGGTGGGGTAAAGTCAAGAACGCGCCCCTCTCTGGGAGAGCTTCCGCGGTTGACTGAGCTTTCCTCATTTGTTTGTTGCCTGCTGCTTGCTACATTCCTGCCCAGAGCTCTGAGGGTTTCAGCTTGATCTCTTTCTGAAGGGATGGTTATCTTTTCTTAGAACCCATGTCACCTCCCTTCAGTGTTCCAGGTGCCATCAGATTTCCAATACTGACCTCTTTTCACACTTAATTCACTCCCAGAGCCATTTGGTCAGATCGTGGTGTGATGAGTTCACCTCCTCCGACGCCTGGGGCCTTGTGATTAACTTGTACTTTAGATATTCAAAGGGTGAATGTTTCATCTTTCAAAATGTTAGGCTACCACTTTGAGTATGACATTGGTTTATTAGTGATTAGTATTTTTTCTAAACTATTGGTAAAACTTTCCTATTTTACAAGATCTTAATATTGCTTGCAAAGAATTTTATGACCAGAGTCCAACAAGAGCTCTATTTTGAAATTGTGCCCAAGCTGGTGATAATTGATATGACATTGATAAATAAAACTACTTTTAAGCACAAGGCTCACTGATTGTATATATGAAATGTCTCTTAGCTTTATAAAATCAGTAAGTATGCTTGAGGGCAGAGATATTTGCCCTGGAGGTCCCTATGTCATGACACTGCGGAGGCTCCTGTGCATGGAGGTGCTGCACACACAGTGGATCACATCCGCCGTCCATCCTGCACGGGGTTCCTCTGCCCTTCGTTTCATCTGGTCCTCACATGGGCATTTTGGACTCTAGCCTTGAGTTCCGTGAATACAAATAATAAGAGCCACTTTGGGGAACATACATATGTTCAGTGCTGCAGATGATGATCACAGGGTGTCTGTGCCTCTTGGCTGTGGAACCCAGGGATGGAAGAGAGCTCCTGAGATGGGTGGAGAAGACAGCCTGGTGCTGGGTCCTATAATGGGCAGGCCACAAGATGGCACTGAGAGATTGGTTTTTATAGTTATTCCTGAGCAACTTTTATACATGGTTGCAGAACTTAACTTGTCACCTGTGTTTCCAAATTTGTGTAGCTGATTTTAAGTCATTTTGATAGCTTTACAGGAAAACCTTTTCTTTCTCAAACAGAGCACTCTCCTTCCCATATATCCTCAGATGAAGAGGAAAAAAAAAGCCTCAGGAGGTCACCGAAGATGCTCTGGGCATCTTGCAGTGGGTAGAGGGAAGGGGTTCTCCAAGGAAGCTTTCTAGAAGGCCCGGGGACACACAGCTAGCAGTGGTGAGAGGAGAAGCCAGGCTGCAGCAGGCTGATCCCTCATCCTTTTCAGGAGAGAGGCTGTGTAGACTTGGATCTTTATATCCTGAGTCTGTCTGGAACTTCAGCAGACTTTCCCTAAGACTGTAGTTGTCATCTTAAATGAGAGCTTTTAAGGGAGATATTTTTTAAAAGTAAGTACTTTTTTTCTGATATAAAATATATGCTCATTAGAGAACAGTCCAAACACCAGAATCATCTATCTTTCTTCCATGTAGAACACAGCTAGACTTTGAATTTCCTTTTGCATATTCAAATGAAAAAGAAAGCCATATTTCTCCCCCTCATGTACATGGTATCACAAGTAGCTTTCTGTGTGTTAAATCTCTGAAAATGAGTTTCTAATATCTGTGCCTTTAGGGTAGCCATTTCCACCCAGGTGAAAACTTTGTTTCGGCTCCTTTGTTATCACGGATGCCCTGAACTTGCTCGTGTGTATCTTTGTGACCTCTCCTCGGCAATTTCTTTAGGGCGGGATCCCAGGACCTGTTGTGAAGAGGGAGGTCTCTTTGCTGGACTGAGTGCGAGTTGATGCCACATTAGGCATGCGCGTCCTGGGATGCGCCTGTGGTCCTTAGTTCTGAGTGCCCCAGTGCCCTGACTTAGCTTCCCTGTGAGTGCCAGACAAGGCCTCGTGAGTGCCCCAGTTACTGTTGGTGGCCTCAAGCTCTTCTCCACGGCTCTGCTTCCTGTCTCATACTCTTTACTGCTGTGTCACTGCAGTCACTGCTGTGTACCCACAGTCATTTTTCATTTTTTAAAAAGTAGTTTATTTTATCTTTAAAAATGTAAAAAATTTTAATTAAAAATAAATTTTTTCTTTGAAAGCTGTTTTTATAAAGTAGGCAAAGCATCAGTGATTTGTCATCAAAAGTGAATGAGGCACATATTCAGGGATTATTTCCACATGAGTGTAGTCATAATTTACCCATGTCATGGATAACAAAATGTGTTTGGTTGAAATAAAGCCATTTTAATTCCTTGTTTTTGACTCTTAGAAACCCAGGAGATGCAGAGTTTTGGTTCAGCTTCTTAGACTGCCTGTTAGTTAAGGCTCCAACATTGACTAAGTTAAATTCATAGTTTACCCTGCCACTCTTAATTTTTCACTCCTTTCTTCCTTTTTTTTTCTTTATTATATCTTTTTTCCTGAAGGAAATTTGCTAGTTTACTAATTATTAGGTAGTACAATTATGATGTATTTGACACAAACCCTTTTTCCTGGTTGCCTTTTCTGTTGTAAGATGATCCTAGTTAGAGTACTGTATGTAATCCCTCAAAAATACAGTGAGAATCAGCTTTCTGGGGCGAGGTGAGCTATAAATGGTATAAGAATGATTCTTTTTATGACTGATCCTCAATCTGAATAATATAAATATATAATCCCCCAAACATCTTATTTGGAATTCAGCTGTGCTTTTCAGGCATTCTGGAGCCCAGTGCCTTCTGCCCATCCCAGTCTTGGAACAGTTTCGTTTCTGGTAACAGAGGAGGGCTGACATGCAGCGCCAAGTGCTCTACAGTATGAGTTCCACCCACCTGCTGGGAGACACCTTGGCTACCCCTTTGTTTGGAGCCCTAATGTCCTTGTCTAAATGCCAGCTCTGGTTAGAGGCCCCTACACTCTGTGCATAACTGGACAAACTGGATCATCACTTGCTTGTTTTTTGTGATTTTGTTGTTGTTTTGTTTTGTCTTTTGTCTTTTTGAAAAAGAATCTTACTGTGTAGTTCAGGTTGGTCTTAAATTCACCATGTAGCCCAGGCATGGCCTCAGATTTGTGACCCTCCTGCACCCTCCTGCCTCAGTTGTCCAAGTACTAGGATTAAAAGTGTGCACCCCATCCAGCTGGGTTATTATTTGGGAAATAAATCAGCTTCCTTTGCACAGGAACAGGAATATCAGAGTACCTGGTTCATACATCCTTGTCTGTGTCCTCTTCCAACATGGTGTATGCTGCCTTAAGGCCATGCTTTACCAAATGGAGGTCATTGATCTCATGCCCTCCACATCGAACCCAAAGCATTTGTCCTCCCACTCTCCTTATTTGTTATTAATTCTTAAATTTTCCTTCTCTTACTAATGGAAAACATGCTGCCTTTCTGCCAGCATAACCTTTAAAAGCCTCTGACTTTAGAGTCAGCATTATTAGAAGCACAATACCTGGCTACTTCTGCTTCTCTTCTCAAGCTACAGCGTGCTGGGGCAGAGCTGGGCTTTCCATGATGGTAATCTACTGAGTCTTGGATAAGAATCAGAAATTCTGGATCAGTAAACTGAAAGAACTGGGAGAAATGTGATTGAGACCTGGATCGTTTTTAAGGGAGATATGTGTATTTGATTAGTGAGGATGGGAAGGTTTACTCATGGATTTAAAATCTAAAGATTTTGCTTCTTCCTTTTACTCATCTTGTATCAGGGGAGTCAGATGATGACCTGGGTTCTGATTCTGCTTAAGGATGAGGGAGACTAAATATATGTAATAGAGAATTGGATTGGGTACTTTAAAAGAAAACCACTAAGCCAAAATGAAAAATTAGGGGGCTGGGGATTTAGCTCAGCGGCATAAGCACCTGCCTTGCAAGCAGGCAGTCGTGAGTTCGATCCCCGGTACCAATAAAAATGAAAAAGACAAAAAAAAAAAAAAAAAAAAAAAGGAAAAATCCAGGGCCCGGGATTTAGCTTAGCAGCATAAGCGCCTGCCTCGCAAGCATGAGGTCATGAGTTCAATCCATGATACCAAAAAAAAAAAAAAAAATCTTCTTTCTATGTTGTAATATGTATCTGGGGACAGTGAGGTATCACAGTTTCAACACACTGCTATCCACCCTTGAGCTCTAGATGAGACGGGATCCTGGAAAGTCTCCAGAGCCTATGCCTCATACAATCCTGGCTTGCCTTGGACTTTGTCCTACTCACCTGTGCCTCTGCCTGGTATCAGCTAGACAAACGTGCAGATGTGAAGGTTGCACTGTATGAACCCCAAAGACATCTCTGTGTACATATCCATTCCTTGTGACCTGGCAGGAAATACATCACCTAATCCATTCTTGGGCTTGGTTTCAGTCCCCAAGAGACTATGTTGGCTTTTCTTTGTGTAACACGGATTCCTACTGAGCAAGCTCAGTGTGGATCTCTTCACAGTTGCCTGGAGCAGTGGTGGCAAACCTGTGGGGTGTGTGCCACAGCAGGCTGTTTATATCATTGAAAGCTCTAAAAGGTTCACTATTCCTGGCCTAAAGGGAGTCTTGATTTCTACCAAATTTGGATCATTTTTGTTGTCATTCCAGAAAAAATTAACCAGCTAGCTGAAAAAAGGCTCAGGTTCCCTTCTGTGCCCCTCCTAGAGGATTGCTAATTGTGTGTAAGGTTCTGACATCTTCAGTCGCTATCCCTCAGAGCTGATAAAAGCTCCAGTCAGTTGGCTTCATTTCTTTTAAATCAAGATATGGATGTTTGGCCCTAAGGTATGGGTCTGAGCCATAGCACATATGGCTGTCTCTGAGTTCTTGGATGCAATGAACAGGACTAAAGTTGGCTCAGAAAAGGAACAGAAGATGACTTGGGGTTACTTTTTCTTTTTAAAACATTATAAAGTGTAGAGAAGTTGGCTGCCATCCCCCCTCAACTCATCAGCAGAGCTTGACCTTGGCCAAGATTTTGCCTCATTCTCTAGGCATTTCAGCATAGAGTTGCGTTTCAGCCGTGGAATGCTTAACCAAAAGCACATGCTGCAGTGGTAGCTTCCAAAGAGCAAGTTTTTGCAAAAAGTCCACACATAGTATTGTTTTCGCAAAACAACAGCTTTCTCCGAACCACCAATCCAGCAAGCCTTTAAATGGCGATTCTTCAGTTTATTTGTGCACAAGGGCTGGGTTTTCATCATTATTAGCAATACTGAGTTCAAGTGCAATACGGTTCACATACAGCACATGCACACCTCTTAAGGCCATAGCTGGGTGGATTTTGGCAAATTTTACAACTGTATACTCACCAAGGACTCAGATTCTATCCTGAAACATCTATCCTAATGATGGCCTTCTGGGGATTGAAAGGTTGTTTATTCCTCTAGCTTAGTAAACTGCCCTAAAACAGTAAATCCAAGTCAACATGTGGACAATTAGTTATACTGAATCCAGGCAGTTTGCCTAAATCTAGTGAACTTGGTTATTGCAAAGTTGGGGGAAGTTTGATTTTAATGAGGTTTTTTTGTTTTAGTTTTTGTTTTTGGTACCAGGGATCAAACTCACAACCGTGCGCTTGCAAGGCAGGCGCTTATGCCACTGAGCTAAATCCCCGGCTAATGAGTTAATTTTTAAAAAGAGGTAATATGTGTACTTAATATAGAATTTCTAAAAAGTGCATGATGGAATCTGAGTCCATTCCTCCTTGAAGGTAACCAGTGTAATTGTTACTGCATATTGTACATCCTTCAAAGAGTGCACGTGGTTTGGGTTGGTTCTTTTCTCCTTATAGTACTGGAGATTAAAGCAGTACCGTGTGCTTTGCAAGTCCTCTATCACAGAGCTGCATTCCCAGCCCTTCGATTGATTTTTAAATCCAAAGTGTCTTCTTTGGCTATTGACCAAAAAGGTATTTTTCCACTCTTTTCTTCATATTTCAGGCCCTAGTTTGTGCATTTGTGCAGAAGCATCTTGGACCCCACAGCCTCAGCAGGACTGTTTGCCCTACACTGTGTACAGTTCACCTGTCTCTGTCACGTGGCTCAGAGGTGCATGTTTCTCATGGGGTTGCCTATGACCTGGTAATTGTAGCTCTTGCTTTTTTGGTAAAATAATGCTTAATTGCAACCTAAAAGCAAGTTACAAGTGAATCTTAGAAAGCCTCTCCCTTAGCCCAAATCTGTGGTATTATTCACTACACAGCCATCTTTCTTTCTTTTTTTTTTTTCTGTACTATAGATCAAACTCACGACCTCATACTTACTGGCAGGTGCTGTGCCATTGAGTTATTCCCCCATCTTTCTCTTTAAATACAGCATTGACCTTACATTTATCTTAAAAAGCCAGTTTCACTAGCAGACACAACTTGATTTGTGCATTAAGGATTTTTTTGTTGTTGTTTTGGGTTTTTATTTGTTTTTTTAGGCAAGGTCTCACTATGTAGTTCAGGCTGTCCTTGAACTCACTATATAGCCCAGTGTAGTTTCAAACTCACAACAATCCTCCTGCCTTAGCCTCCTGAGTGCTGAGATTATAGGGGTGCACTACCACACGTGCTTGTGTATTACAATTTGCAGACATTTAAAGAATACGCAGAACAGAGAACTTCTAGTCAGCATGTTATTGGACAGTATTTTTCACAGCTCACTGGCTCAAAACTCAGGAAAGGAAATCCCATTTTAGTCACTTTCCTTGTCACTAAGACACAATAACCAACACCCACCACTTAAAGGGAACATTTATTTTTGTTAACGTTTTAGATAGTCCTTGTGTGGTTAACAGCGCGGTGGAAGGGGCTGGGCAAAGGAAAGGTATTTACCTCATGGCAGACAGGAAGCAGAGAGTGCAGGGCAGAGCTAGGGAGGGAGCTGAACTCTTCCAGGTTCCACCCCCAGTGACCCACCTCTTCTGACCAGACCCCACCTCCTAACAGGAAGCCAGCTGTAGCACCTTCCACCAGCCTCGCCTCTGAGCAGTGAGGCTTTGGGGGACATCCAGGGATAAACCATTGCAGCCCTCTGGCCCTAAGCCTGTCAGTGGGAAAGGAGCACAGTCTGCAGGGTGGCTTTCCTTGGCCACTTCCAGCTCCCAGCCTTTTTCATTCCCTCCGTGGTAGAAGGCTAGGAGTCAGGTCTCCAGTTTGAGCTTCCCAGAGATCCACTGTCCAAGGAAAGGAGTGAGGCCCTTGGTGATTTCCAACTCAAGGCTCATATGATTTCCCTAGGGCCATTTTATCCTTCCTGCCCTTTTATGTTCTCTCCTTTGTCTTGCTGAAATCTAATCAGCCCAGCCCTCTCAGCCATCATTAGCAATATCCCCACTGGTCAGAAAGCTCCCTTTGAGCATCTCCTTAGAGCAGCTGTCACATTTGAGCAGCATCTGCTTTCTGACAAGCTTGAAGACAGGATGAAAGAAGTCTGAGGCTTCGGGACTGTGTTCAGTCTGCTTGTAGCCAATGGCATGGTGGCTTGGGGGAGGGTGGAAGGAAGAGAGGTCATTCTGGACAGGCAGGGACCTTCCGAATCCAGCCTTAGCCTGTGGTCTGCGCGGGGTCCACCTCCTAGACTTGTTCCCTCCGCCTCTGGCTGCAGCCTTTTCTGGGCAGGGAAACAGAATGAGGCAGAGATCCTGGTATGTTTTAAATAGTGCTGCTTGCAGCAGCCAGTCAGTCCAGCAGCTTGGAAGGTGAGCTGCCCTCCCCAAGAGCTTTGCATTGTGCTCCTGCCTCCAGCCTCTTGATCGCCGGCCACCCCAACCTCTCCTGCCCACCTCTCCAGTGTAACTGCACTTGTGTTAACTGTCCTTGGCTGCCCTTTGGATGGTTTCTCCTCAGGCCTTTCTGGTGCTAGTATTTGTTATACTTCTATTGGTTTTCCCTCTCTGCTTTTGTTTCCCTGAAGCTGTTTTTCATCATGCTCTATATCTTTTCATCTCTTGCAGTCTGTTCACATCCACTCCACCAAGTGCACATCACCATCTGCTGCTGCTGCTTGTCTGGCTTTGCCATGGCTTCCTGATTGTCCTCCTGCCCCCGCTTTCTCAGAGCCTAGTAAGGACAGCTCTGCCCCTCTTGGCTAATGTATGGCAGTGATGGACATTGGGACCAACAGCAAGAGGTCAAAGTCGGTGCTCCAGTACTGTCAGCGTACCCTAGAGAGAGCATGGTAGGCCATGTTAAGAAGGCTCCCTTCAGCAGAGAAAAGCTTAGGCAGCAGAAAACCAGTGTGACCTTTTCCCACCCTGCCACAGAGACCACTTACAAGACCTAACAGTAATTTTCAGAATATTTTAACTTTGATCTCTGGGTTCCTGGTAAAAAGTAATGTGAAAGAAGGAAGCTAGTCTGTTTAATTTACTGGTGGGAGCCAGGCATGGTGGCACACATCTGTAATCCCCAGCACTCGAGAGGCTGAGGCAGGAGGATCGTCACAAGTTGAAAGCTAGCCTGGGCTACATAGAGAGGTGAAAGCCAGCTTGAACTACACAGCAAGATCCTGTCTCAAAAACATAAATAAAAAATAAAAAATTTCACTGGTGGGAGATACGCTGTGTTGAATTGAAAAGAAGTAGGTGTGGGGAATGTGAACGGAGGGTACAGGGGGAAGAACCTACCTCGACTGCCGTAAGTTGTGCAGGTGACAGTTCCAGACAGGGAATGGACCTCAGTGAAGAAAGCTGTTTGTGGTGTGTCCACATGGGAGGTAAGTTTAAGGAGAGAGAGTCAGAAATCAGAAGAGGGCTGGAGAGAAGTAGAGGATGCAGAAGCGATGGGCCAGCACCTACCCAAGGTTATGACCAGAAAAGGAGGCAGAAGGGGAAGCCAGGCAGAGGCTCAGTGTCACAAGGGCAAGCTGATGTGGGGCTGGCACAGGGTGGCAGGCAACCAGGGGCGTGGGACCTGGCCAGAGATGCTACAGCCCAGAAGCAAACAGTATAGGGCTGAGACTTGAAGAAAAGGGCTCCTCCAGGACTTTCATTTGTCACTCCTTCCTATTATTATTATTATTATTGAGACAGGGTTTTGCTGTGTAGCACAGGTTGGCCTCACATTCCTAGCAACCTTGCGTCAGCCTCCCGAGGACTGGGATTATAAGCATGCACCACCACAACAGGCTTGTCCTTTTTTCTTTTCTATCCTTTTCCTATTAGCAGAAAACACAAAAAGGGGCAGTCTGCCTTTAAAAGGGAATAGAAAGGGTAGGGCTTTAGTTCATGACTGGGTACCTTTTGCCCTTGGCTGGACTTTTAGGCTTCTTCACCCACCTGGCAGCTGGAGTAGGAGGAGTGTCCGCCTGAGTGGCAGCCATCTGCAGCTCGATGGCCCAGCACAGTGCTGGGGCGCCAGCAGTGGCCGGGGGGCAGCAGGCACAGGCTGTTGGTGAACTCACCTGCAGAGCCCGCTCCCAGCTCCCAGCTAGTGATCCCAGCTCAGTCTGTCTCCTCTGGCCCGAGTACTGAGCTGCATAGATGTGAGACGTGGAAGAAGGAGAAGTTGTTTTTTCTTGCTTAAACTGTTTTGCCAGTAACTGTTTTGTAAGTAAGTGGAAGAAAGAACCCCCAAAATACAAAGGATGTACAACAAAGCCGCTTTCTCTCCAGTTCTTAAGTGCCCCTCCTCAAAGCCATCCCTGAATGTCCCAATTTCTTGTACATTCTTCCACTTTCTCTTTTTTAAAAGTCTGGGGTAATTACAAGCTTTCAAGTTCTTGATCAAAGAATATTTTGAATTGTTTGGATGTATGTGTGCGTATATAATGTGTAGGAGGTTCAAGTAGCAATAAACTGTGTCCCGGTTTATTGTCAATAACTTGCTGGGGCAGGAAAGAGTTTAAAATATTAAAAGAGGTGAATAGAACCCTAAAGTGCTAGCCCTGAAAGGACCTTCTAAGAACTTTTGTACACAAGTCCATTTATTGACCAAGTGGCTGTACTGGGGGTTGGACCCAGCGTGTCCACACTGAGCTACACACCCAGCCTTTCTTGGTGTTCTGAGAACAGTGACTTGCTTTACCACTAGGTTGCCCAGGGTAGGCTTGAATTTGTGATTCCCTTTCCTCAGCTTTCCAGAGGGCTGGGACTATAGATATGTGCCACCATATCTGGCCACCAAATTCTATTGTAAACATGAGAAAGAGGCTCAGCAGGTAACTTCTCAAGGTCACCGAGCTGGGTGATGATGTATCTGTGACTAAAACCCAGGTTCCCATCTCAGTCTTGGCTCTCCAAGAACATGATAAATGCTCTAATTCTAGGTAGTGATCTTTGCAGAGACGTGATGCTGAGATGGAAGCAAAAACAAATGATTAGATATATAGATTGAGAAATTCCCTCATTGTGGCTGCTAAAGCAGTAATTCCAAGACAGGAGGTGGCTTGGGCAGGAGCATCGCTGTGGTGCTGCTGGGATCCACTCCTAAGGCCCAGCGAGGAAGCAGCGCACAGTGCCATCCCTGATCACCAGCAAAGAGTTCAGTACTTCCAGGAAAAGCTGAAATTAGATTCCAATAGAGAATAGTTCCACAGCCCGGTGTGGTGGTCAAGCTTGTAATCCCAGCACTCAGGAGGCCAGCCGAGGCAGGAAGATTTTTGTGAGTTCCAAGCCAGCTTGGGCTACAAAATGAGTTCAAGGCCAGTTTGAGCTACACAGTGAAACTCCGACTCAAAAAGGCCACCAAGAAGCAAAACAAAACAAAAAACCCACGGTACCTCCGCGTGCACGCGTGTACACACACACACACACACACACACACACACGCACACATGTATTTATATGCACATGCACAGGCACTGGCACAAAGTAGAGGTGTTGGTCCCAGCTGTAAAGTCTGGCCCTTTTCTCCCGGTGCCTCCAGGCTGAGGTCAGTAGCGGCAGCACAGTGCTGCTCCCTGCTGGAGGACCTAGCACCCTAGGAGCCACCCTCGCTGCGGAAAGCAGAGGCTGGTGTCTCCTTTCTGGGCAGGACGGAGAAGTGTTAACCTACACTGAGGAAACCTGCGTGCGTATGGGGCAGGAATTCCAAGGGAAAGGGGAGGATACGGGGAGAAGGTGCCTGTGACACCTCAGGGCTCCACCGCTGCTGGCCCCACGAGCACTGCCAGCCTAGCTGCTTACACCATCTCCCAGGAGGAAACTCAAGATTTATGCGCTGATAAAATGGCAAGATGCTTTTTAAAAATTCGTTCTGTGTTGGCAGCAGCTCCAGACACTGTGAACAGTTTCAGTGTCCAAGCCAGATTGATGGGCTTTTTGATGACTTCAGAGGGTGGCTTCGGAGAGAGGGGACATGAGGGACTGTAAAGGCTGGCTGTAAAACCCTCAATAGCTTTGAAATGGTAAATTTCCAGGCAGTGGGAATCTGGCATTATACACCTCCTGCGTTAACAGTTTTTTCTGCCTGTTCAATTATTTTGACTTGTAAGGGAGTAGAGATTACACTCAAAATTATCGATAGATGCTTTTAGCCTGACTGAGAGCTTTAAAATATATACCAGCCCTGGGAAAATTCCCTTAATTTCCACCTCCCAGTTTCACAAGGCAAATGGAAGTGTCAGTTGTAGATTAAAGAAACGCAGGGCTAAGACAACAGTTTCTTCAACTCAGAGTCTCTTGGCCTTATTGCCTGGCCTCGTAAAGTGTGTGCAAACCCAAGGTCTGGGGATTCATCCTGATGTGACCCAGGCGGTAAGGTCCTTGGAAAGAGAAATGAGTGCTCCTGAGGGCCTGGACTAGGGCCTCGAATCAGGCCATCTCACAGAAGCAGGAAAAAATGGCACCTGTCTGTATCTCCATCTTCACATAAAAGATGCAGAAGCCCAGTTTCTGAGGTATGCTTCCCCCACCTTAGTGTGGGCTCATGAGTAGCCACCCAGCAACCTGTTTGCCTCAAGTATACACCTAGGTTTTCATCTCTGACTGACTGGCCCATCCATTCCTCCTCCTGAGCTCAACCTGCATTTATAGGTGCTTTCCTGGAGCAGCCACAGAGACTCAAGTACAGCTGAACATGCCTTTCAAATCTGTCCCTCCTGACTCCCCATTTTTGTTCATGTTTTCCCCTTATACCAAAACATTTCTCTGCTATGCAAGACATTTACATGTTATCCTCAAATTCTTTCTCTCACTTCACCTCCAACTGATCATCAAATCCTTTGAATCCACCTTCCTTTCCAGCTTGTTACTGCCCAAATCCAGCACTGTTTGCTTGGCTGCTTGCAATGTTATAATGATCCCCCCTCACTGGTCTTCCACCTTCTCCATGAAATTTATAACCAATCGTGTCATCCTCTATTTTAAAATTTGGACATTTCGGGCTGGGGATTTAGCTCAGCGGCATAAGCACCTGCCTTGCAAGCAGGCAGTCTTGAGTTTGATCCCTGGTACCAATAAAAAAAAAATTCTGGACATTTCTTTTAAGCGTTCTTAAGTACAAATTTTGTACAGAAGCCTAGAAGACATCTGTCAACTGGTCTGTGCCCTCCCCTCTAACCTCGTTACCATCCCCATCCCTACCCACCTACATCAAGCCACTCACTATTTCCTGTGTTATGGGATACTCATACATCTTTGCAACTTTGGCTTGCTCCTCTTCCCAGAATTCCTTTCCAGGTCTTGCCCACCCACTTACTCTTTTAAGATCTCAAGTGACTTCTGATTTGTGAAGAATGCCCCCTTCTATAGAGGCTATTATATCATACTGTAAGTATTTTTGTATCTACTCAAAGTCTCAATTACTGGACCCTTGAGAGGCTAGAGCCAGACTTTGTTCATTTTTGTGTCCTCAGTTCCTAGAAGTACCTGGCATGGTAGTTGTTCAGGAAGGAAAGAAAAGGACTGGGAAGCACACCCCAGGAGGTTAACAGGCACTGGTTACCCTGTCTGAGAGGGCAACTTGGGGTTTTTATGGGACAGAATGGTAGGTAGCTACAGTGTGCCACTCTAGGATTCATTCAGTCAGTCACCTACTCTGCACAGATATTTAGTGGGTACTGCCAAGATACTGGTGTTAGAAACTCTGTACAAAAGGCACTGCTGGCCCCTGCTCAGAGGAACTTGCATTCAAGGTGGTGAGACAGACATATGGTCGGCACTGGCTTGGTGTTCGGTGGGCCATCTGGTCTGAGGACCTTTGTCACTCAGCTCTGCAGAGGCTGTGGAGAAGAAGAAGAAGCAAAGCAGAAGGTGGCAGAGACGGCAAGGTCAGGGGCTTTAGGACTCTGCTTCTGGGACCAGTGCTGCTGACCAGTTGGCTTTATTTATGCGTTTCTCTTTTATATGAGTGCCTTGCTGTTAATAAAGAACATCCGACCCATTTCTAATTAGCCTACAGCCTCTGCAGGCCCCTTACTCCCAAGTGCGACAGCTGGGTATTTCACCATCAGCAATGACATTCATAGTTCCTGCAGTTGTCCACCAGAATCAGGGCCATTCTGTCTCTGCCTTCTGCTGGCACCTCAGAAGACTTTGTCACCTTCTCTTGGGGCAGCAGGGTTTGGCGTAGCCCGACGGCTTAGGGAAGGGGTCTGGGAAGAAGTTAGGGGAGTCACTGCCCTGGCCCACCCTGACTGTAGATGAGTTGCCCATCTTTGTAGTCCATAGTTCTGCACCCTTTTGTCAAGAGAGAAGTGTATGCTGCACAGAGCTACCCTGCCTTTTCCCCTCCTTCCCTTCTTCCTTGCATCAACAAACATTTAATGAGTATTATTGTATGCCGTCATTATGAGCACTGCCTAAGCACTGGGGAAACTGTGATGAACAGGATGTAGAACCACCTTTGAGGCGCGGGTCTGCAGCTCAGTGGGGCAGCCCTTGCCTAGCGTGAGTGAAGCCCTGGGCGAAGCCCATACCCAGAACAAAGCAAAACAAAAAACCAAAAATCCCTACACACTTGGAGTTTACACTCCAGGGATAGAAACTGGAGTGAGTTGCTCCAGTAAGTAAGTGAGAAGTCACAGTTGTTAGGCAAATAAAAAAGGGAAGAGTAATAAGAGTCTGGAAATTTCTAAAAGCCAGGTTCTTCCCTTCGTTTGTAGTGGATCACAGAAGCTCAATGTACAGATGATTTCCTTAGAGACAGCTGCTATATTCATGCAGTCAGGTGGCAGTAGGTGGCATATGCTCCACAGGATGGCTGGTGACCTTTGCAGGCATCAGTCTCCTTATCTGTGCAGTGGGGATGATGGAGGTCCTCACAGGGTTGCTCAATTCCAAACCTCTGTCTTCATGGTAAGTGTTGCCTGGTAACGTATGTTCTGTTTACCATCCCAGGCTTCTTTCCTGCCTGGAGCAGATGCGGGCAGTGCAGGGAGAGAAGGTTCAAACCAGCTCCCCTCAGCTGCCTTCTGGGCCTCTCCTGCAGCTGTAGACACAGCCGGAGGCTTCTGTGCTGGCCCAGGGTCTCGGGGGTAATGGGTAGAGACGGGCTGGGGCTTGCTCTGTGCCTTCCTCTGCCTTGCTTCCAGCCTGCTCCACATGAACTCTGGAGGCGGCGGCCACCTGGCTATAGCACAGGACAGTCTGTCCTTACTGGCTTGTGGGTGTACTAAGAGAGGTCTTCCTGGGATCCATGCTTGGCCTCAATCCCCCGCATGTGCCCTGGACAGGCCCCTTAGGAGTCCCAGCACCAGCAGCACCAGCAGCATGCCTATAAGTGGGCTCACCAGACAGGAGGTCACCAAGCCCTGGATTTTACTTGCCTTATTCATCTAGTCATTCTCAGCAATGCTACTCCCATGTTACAGTTGAAGAAACTGAGGGGAAGAATTTGCCCAAGCCATTCTACTAAATAACCCGGCTTTCAAACACAGCTTGAGACAAGGTCACCCACTGAACTGAGCCCTCTCTTCCCTATTAGCCACTCTCCCCATCCCCACGCAAAATGCAGAGGGACCCAGCTTATCTGGAGTACTTTACTGTCTTTGACAGCTTTCAAGGAGAAGGGTGAGGACTGGAATATAGTTCCAGGGTACAGCACTTGCCTAGAGTCCCAGCGACCCTGGGTTCCATGCCCATTATTGCCCTCCTTCAAAAAAAAAGAAAAAGAAAAAGGACCTGTGCTTGGAAGAAACGTCAAACAGGAAGACATCCAATGAAGTAGAAATCTGAAATGGCTCAGTTGGAGACGGACCCCTGAAAGGCATCTCTTTGTATGTCCACCCTGAGCTATATATTACTCCAAGCAAGTTGAACAGGCCCCTGGAGGCCCTGTGTCCTGATCTGCAGATGGGGTTGGTAATCCTTACTCAGCTCTGCTGTGGAAGCTCTGGAGACTACATGTAGAATGCTGGCACAGTGGCAGGCACCTGGTGGGTCCTGAGTAAACTGTGACCATCGCGATTACCCTTGTTTTCAAAGTTTGGTGAACATTAGGAATCAGCAAGCCTCTTAGGGGTGGCTTCAATTCTGTGGTGCTGCTGGGACATACTCTGAAGGCCCAGAGAGGAAACAGCACTCAGTGTCATCCCTGATCACCAAAAGCTATCTCAGGGAGGGGCAGCAGGCTCCTTCTGCACCCATTTAGGATCTGAATCTGGAAGGAGGTCATAGGCCACAGTGGAAGTAAGCAGCTGTCAATGCTTAGCCCTGCTACAGTGTCTGTGGCTTGAGGCAAATCAGCCAACCTCTATATCAAAGTTCTGTCACGTGAGCATGGTAACTTCCTGCCCCTTCCTCCCACCCCAGGGAAGCCCTGGGCAGGGGCAATCCTCTCTTGGGGTCAGAAGTGTCAGGAATGACAGTTGGTCCTGAGTCCTGGGAAATAAGTGGTGAGACTTGCAGAAACCCTCCCTCTCTCTCCTCACTGGGCCTTCCTTGCTGTGGCCACCAGAAATTTCTCCACTTGCTGTCAGCATCATCGCCTATACGTAGGGGTGAGTGTGGACCCTCCTCCCAGGAGTGGAGGGGATGACTTTGGATTCTACATTCTTTTACCTGGTTCTGTCAAGAGCAAAGGCAACCAGACACTCATAAACCATGCTGGACCCAGGGCAGCAGCTGATGGCAGTAGAGCCTTCACCTCCTGAGAGCACTGTGAAAGTGGGACCACCAGGAGGGCAGTTTCCTTATATGTTAGTTGACTGAAGATGCCTGTGGAGCCTGATTCCTGAGGAACAAGGTCTTCCTTCACCTCCCGCATATGCTCCGTGATTCCTGTGGAAACCACATTGGCTTGACAGTGGTTTTCCCCATCTATGCCAACCGATTCTAGCCCCCAGATGGTCTAATTAAAAAGATTGGGGGCTAGGGATTTAGCTCAGCGGCATAAGTGCCTGCCTTGCAAGCAGGCAGTCGTGAGTTCGATCCCCGGTACCGATAAAAAGGAAAAAGAAAAAATAAATAAATAAATAAAAAGATTTCAGAGAGCAAGGCCAGCCTGCTGCGCCAGGGCCAGTGGCAGCTCTGCACCTTGCCCCTGTTGTCTGTGACTGCTACACATCTTGTGCCCCAGACTCTCCGGGACTTTTGTAGCCCCTTTCTGAGATCTTCTTTGTTACATTTCTTTATAGGGTCACATTCCTGATTGGACTTGTCTAAGTGTCCTCGTGATTAGTCTTCTTAGTCAAGGTATTATAGTTGTGACGATAACCCTGAGTTTTCTGGAAAAACACCACCTTTGGGTTTTCGCATCAGTTGCACATCTGTTACACACAGAAAAACACCACCCTATTTCACTTCCATGCCACAGGGTGGGGCTCATGGTGTTGTTGCATAGGGACATGGCCCAGAGACCACTGTTTCCCTGATTCCCCCAGCTGGCTTTATTTGCAGGCCTGGTCCTACTTGGGTCTTCAGAAGAGCCACAACATCCGGCAGCATCAGCAAGGAGCCAGCTGCCTGCCAATTCCATCCTTGGCATCCAAAGACTGCCTGAGTTCAGACTCACCTAATCTGGCCAACCTCAACTCCCACCAAATCCTTCCCAGCATCCATCGCTCTCCCTTAGCAAGCCAACTACTTCCGCCTTTGGACCCTTTGCTGGGACAGCTAGTCATACCTCTTCTTTCCTCCTTTTCCCAGTCTCCTAAGGATTTATTCAGATGTGTCCATCTCCTCTGAGAAATCTCCTCCAAAGACCATGTTGCACTAAAGGATTTCTCCCTCCGTGATCCTTACTTCCTTATGTCACACCAGCTGCCCAGTGCCAAGTGCTGTCTGGTGTCCTACTGCTGATCCAGTCCACACTGCCTTCAGTTTGGAGGTTTGGAGTGAGGGTAGTTCACATCTGATTCTCGCCACCTCCAGGCTGTTGAGCTGACTCTCCAGCTCTTGTCCTTGTCTCTCACCACTGTATTTTACACTTCATCAAAAAGTGTCAGATGGCTGGGAAACAGCTCTGCCCACTAATTAGGCTTGTTCCCTAGGCAGAATCATTGACTCACCTCTTTGGCCTCCCTTCTTTCACAGGAAATGGTGACGAGGCACGAGAGTGACCCTGCACAATGAGGCGGGGTGGAGGGAAGCACCGTGAAAGCTAAGAGCCTCGCGCCGGTGAGAGCCGTGGATTGGCAGTATCCCGTTCTCCCCGCATTGGCGGCCAGGCAGGGCTGTCTTGTCTTCTTTCTCTCCGGATGTCAAGTGCACCACCTTGTAGTTCCTCTTTGGGGAGGGCACTTTGGCGGCTCGGAATCCTAGGCTTCGGAAGATTCCGGTGTAAACTCAGCCTCCGCTTCTCCCCGGCCGCCCCTTCCCAAGGACTCTCCGAAAACACCTTGAACCCCGCGCCACGGTGCAGCTCTGAGCGCTCCAGGAACTGCAGCTTGGTGGCGCGGGCCAAGGCCGGGGGTCGCGCGCCTGCAGCCGGTGACTCAGGGCCGCTCAGTCAGGGGCGAGTGTGGGTAGGCGGGCCCGCCGAGGGCCGCGCCGGGGCAGCCGCCGGGCGTACTGTTGGCGAGCCGGCGGAGCCCAGGCTAATTCTGGCCCGTCGCCATTTCGCCGCGGGCGTCTGTCTCGCCCGTCCCGGGGCGCGGGAGGAAGGCCCGCGCTACTTCTCATCCGGCGCGCTCCGGCTCCGCATCTGCTGGTGCGCGGCGGCCGGGGCGGCCGGAGCGCGGAGCCGGCTCCGCGCGCGGATGAATGGGCGCCGGCAGCCGCGCGCGCTGGGGCTGAAGGGCATTAGGACCGTGAGGATCGCTCGGCGCTCCTGTCTCTCCTTATCACCCCCCCCCCTCCTTTTTCTGCTCTGCAGGACTGAGCAGCCAGGCGCGAGCGAAAACAAACAGCTGGGGCTAAGAGCGCCCCCGGCCCCGGCCCCGGCCCCGGCCCCGGCCTGGAGAGCACGCCGGCCCCCAGCCGGGCGCCCGTCCGCCCACCATGAGGAAGATCCGCGCCAATGCCATCGCCATCCTGACCGTAGCCTGGATTCTGGGCACTTTCTACTACTTATGGCAGGACAACCGAGCCCACGCAGCATCCTCCGGGGGCCGGAGTACGAAGAGGGCTGGAGGGAGGCCGGAGCAGCTCCGCGAGGACCGCACCATCCCGCTCATTGTGAGTCCGCCCGGCGCGCCGGGCAGCCGGGGAGCCGAGGGCGCGGGGCCCGGCCTGGGGCTGCGTGCCCGCCGCGCCAGGGCTGGCTTTGTAGACGCTGGAGCATTCTTGTTCGTTGTTATGGCAACCCCTGCCGGCCGGGCGCGGGGGCCTGGGTGCAAGGATGGAGGGAGGATGACAGCGGGTGGGGGCTGGGAGAAAGTGCTGCAAGTTTGGTGGGCCCGGCGTGCGCGCGCGACTAGGAACGTGGCGGCTCCCCCGGCACTGCGCTGGCCAGGCCGGGGTCTGGGGGTTGGAGGCTAGGGGGCAGGGGCTGGGGGCTGCGGGCGCTCGGCCCTGCCTGCAGCCAGAGCGCTGGGGAGCCGCGCAGCTGAGCGCGTAGGTGGCAACGCACAGCGGGTCTCCAGCCTCCCGAGGGTAAAGGACGTCGGGTTGGGGCGCGGTGAGGAAAGGGTCGTTAAGCACCGCTCTTGGTCTTGAATTTGTTTCTCCTGCATTGATACCCGGGGGTGGGGGGGGCGGGGGTGCTCTCTGGCTTGGGGAAAGATCTCCTCCTGTATGCGCCCCTCGTCCCCAGCATTAGGGTCCAGCACCGCAAGTGAGTGGGCAGCGTCCACGCTGGCCTGTGCGATTCCTTAGCATGAAGTCCACCGCTCGTTTGTCCGGCGAGCCAGCAACAAAGGCGTTGAGGCACGTCGGGGACCCTCGGCGGAGCTGCCGGGGCCCTCGGCATTCGGGGGACTCGGGAGAAGGCTGCGAAGACCCAACCTTCCTGCAGGGGGCGTTCCTGTCGCCGCCTTGGCCTGGGTTCCTGGTGACAGCTCGGTGTAGCTAAGCTGGGCACCTGTTGAGGCAGGCTAGGACCTGCTGAGAGCGCTCTCCGTAGCGCGCTTCCTCCGAAGGGGGCGGGTGGTGGTGAGCCAGATTCAGGGATGACTTTCGGGACAGGCTACTGGACTGGGGAAGCCTGGCTGGAAGACGACAAGAAGAGGGATGGGAGAGGCAATGGGAGAGGGTGCAGTTTTTTACTTGTAAAGATCTGGGCCTGGGGGAGAAAGGAGCCCTACACGGTCAGGAGAGCAGAAGCTTGCATGGACTAGAGCAGGACTTTTGTCCAAAGGCCACTTTGAACCCCAGAAGTATGGGGAGGGTTGGTGTAGACCAGCTCTCATATCCCATCCTGCCCCATCTTCCACTCATTACCTGCAAAAATACGTAATTTCTGACCCTGAACTGAGATCTTGTGGTCTGAGGGTTTATCTGGTTGCATTTGGGGGTAGCCTGATTAGATGAGTGTTTCTTTTTGGGCTGTGGCCCTGTTTCTAGGACACTGTTCCCAAAGCACTCATCAGTGTTTGGAAAGAAAAAAGAAGGAAAAACTAAGACTTCAGAGTACTGAGATTCGGAGGGACTGACAGATTGGAGCAGGACAGGGCCACTCCCATGGACCTGGCACACCAAGAGTCCCAGCGGCAGCCTCTTCACTCCAGAAGAGGACCAGCCCTGCTCTAGGAAAATGGGCCTGGGCCTGGCAGGGTAGATAGAGGCAAGTTGGCCAGATACTCTGTCCCTCGCTCTGGTGATGTGATGGGGGGGTGCCCCTGAGCCGGAAGGGGAGGAGGCTGAGGGAAGGCAGGAAGCAAAAGAGAAAGCACTGGGAAACTGCTGTCCCTGAACCCTGATTTTGCTGGGGCTCTCTGTCCTCCCCCAGGGTGTGTGTGTGTGTGTGTGTGTGTGTGTGTGTGTGTGTGTGTGTGTGTGTTGTGCACTGCTTGGGTGATACAGCCCTAATTTTGAGGAGTAGAAATTGGAGGTTATGGCAGGAGGTGCTAGTGAACATCCTTTTGCCCCTACTGATTGCTGTGGCAGATTAGAAAGGGGCTAAACTTCAAGTGTGAAGGGGAATCTGAGAGAGCCTAGGAGCTGGGAAATGAAGGTGTAGGAAGGAAGGGAGGATGGAAGTCCCCAGGAGTGGAGTGGCAAGGGCTGTCGCTAGCCACTGAGGTACAGCCAGCTCCCCCTCTGTTTTAAGCTTTAGCCTTGGGTGTCTGCCTCGGCATCAGTCCTGATCACACACTACCCTTGACACTGCCTTGCACTGTACTCTTGTCATTCAAGTTGATTCACTTTCCTCTAATTCTCAGCTATGCATGCAGGGACTATGCTGGAAGTGCCTCACATCCCCGCATTGATGTGCACAGCAAGACTTAATAAGTACTGCTTTTATAGAGGAATGCAATAGGATTCTTGCCCATTTCTGAGAGTAGTCAATGGGCCAAGCTTTGGATCCCCCTGGTAATTATCTGTAGCTCTGCCCTGACTAAGTGAGGAGGTAAAGAATGTGTGCCCAGTCATCTCCAGGCGTCCAGCTCTTTGTTCAATCTAAAAGGTGCAGGTGCAGCTGAGTACTTGCCTTCTCTCTGAAATTTCCTTTCCAAAACACTTCTCTGTCTGGTTAGGCCAAGACATTTGTGTGTGGACTTTCAGATTCTTGGGGAATGAGGTGGCCAGCCCTGCTGTCAGAGGCTGAGCAAATTCAGACAAGCGTCATCATCGCTCGCTCCCCTTGGGAAATCAAAGAGCTGAGCTGGGAAAGGGAGGGGCTGCATGTGAGTTGGACCTGGAAATGGCTCTGTGTTCAGACTGTTGGGTTATCTGAAGCCAGCCACGTTGCTTCTGGACCTCCTAGACACTTGTGTAGGATTGTGGGATGTCAGTATGCAACCAAGTGGCCCAGTGGGAGGTCCTGAGTTTTGCTATCATGGGTGTTGACACCCTCGTGTATCACAAATTTTGATGTGAAAAATTGGGGTACATAACCTGTGAAACTAAAAGGAGATGCTGACCCCATGCCTACTGGCTGCCATATCTGGGGCCATCCCCTGGAATCTACACTGCTGTCCACTGGCACAGGATGCCCACTAGTGCAGGAGGTAGGGCAGACCTGGCTGAGATATGAGCCTCCCAGTGGGGGAGAACGTTTGTGGTTGTTTTGATCTGGGACTTAAGTTTTCCATATGCCAGCTCTTTAACAGGCATGGGTGGGAAGCCAAGGTGTTACAAGGAATTTCACTTTACATTATTAAAACAGACTCCATTATGGGTGTTGTCAGCATAGATGTACTAATTTGCAACAACAGTTTCCTATTTAAAACCGTGAAGGATGTAGGCAGGAGTTTTCCTCAGTTGGTGTTTCTTATCCTGGAAGTGAGGTACTGCTAAGTGACCACAGGGAAACTACTGTCTCTGGACCTTGATTAATCTTAGTGTTAAATTTCAGTTGAATGATTGACAAGATTTATTGATATTTAGTCAAACCAATGATAGTTTCTTTTCTGGAATATGGAAATGGCTTTGAGGAAGTGCTCCTGTGGGGTGGCGTGAGGTTTCACCTGTCGAGTGCCTACTTACTCTTAAAGGGGACACTGAGGACGGCTTTTCTGGCCCCGTTTTCCAAGAGTAGAGTTAGAGCATAGGATGCAATAAGTTCTGGGTGAGTTTATATTTTATTTATAATGTGCGCATTTTGGAGCTGTAGGAATATGATTTGCCTAAATGACAGAACATGATTTTGTATTTAATTTGCCTTGTGGTACACACATGAAAGAGAGTGAGGAGGGAGAAGCACAAACACCCACAATTTCCTTTGCCAAAATGTTCAGATTGAAAGGGCCCAATTTCCTGCAACGGAGTATATTTCTTTTTTTTTTTTTTTGTCTTTTTCGTTTTTATCGGTACCAGGGATCGAACTCATGACTGCCTGCTTCCAAGGCAGGCACTTATGCCACTGAGCTAAATCCCCAGCCCCTAACGGAGTATATTTCTGGGCCATTTTGAGACTTGTTCATAGGGCGTAGGCACAGCCTATGGGAAGCTGAGCTTGGTGTGGGCCCAAATAGCCTGGGGAGCTCCATGCTGGGAGGCCCAAGGCCCAAGGACACAGGGCTAGTTTGAAGATGCTTTGCCTTCCTTTGGAAGGCCCTTCATTTCCACCCTAACAACAATCCCCCCTCCAGCCTCGTGAGGGTGGGGGAAGCCTGGCTTCCTTATGTGGTGGTTGCATGTGTCAGGCCGGTAAGCAGAGAAACCCCTCCAGGCTACAAAAGTCATTTCAGGTGGGTGTGCAGGGGGCACCTCTGGCAAAGCCAGGCCAAACTTCTCAGGAGACTGTCTTGCTATAATGGAGAAAATCATCCTGAGGTCAGAGGGGAGCCCATACTTGAGCAGTTCATTACAGTTACAAGATTGAAGATTTATACCCTGCCTGCTTTTTGAGAAGACCAGAGGCACCTTCTCCATGAATAGCAGGGCAAAGACACACAGAGGTTAAATAGACGCCATGCCCAAGTCTCCTGGAAAGAAGCAGGGGGGCCGAGCTTGCAAGCAGTGATTACACTCAAGGCATTAAATGCGATTCACTTAATCAAACAGTTGCAGTCTGCACATGGCCCCCTCTGAAGAGGGTTTCAAGTGGCTTCGTCTCTGCCTGAGAATGCATGTGGTCTTTGATCATTTGTTCCTGTCCAGCCTTTGTAATAGCCATCTACTCTGTACCGCATTGGCTTCTGTACCACATGTGGTGGCTTCATTTATTGGATACTTTGATGCTGTGTAAGTATTTTACAAGCCTTCCCTCTTGAATCCTTTCAGCAACCGAAAGAGATGGCTACCACTATTAGGCCCAGTTAACACACAAGTAAACTGAGGCTGACCCAGGGCCTGACAACTAGTGAGTATGTTTGAATCTAAGTGTTTGCACTCTAAAGCCCAATTGATGTCTTCTTTCCCTGGAACATCTTCAGGGCAAGATCCAAGTCTGATGGACCACTGGTCCCCCATCTCAATGGGTTCCACCTTGGATTCAACGAACCATGGATTAAAAATAATGGGAAGAAAACTGCATCTATCCTGAATATTCACAGACTTTCTTTCTCGTTCTTATTCCCTAAATAGTAGAGTAGAATGCATTTACATGGTGTGAGGTATTATAAGTAATCTAGACATGAATTAAGAGCAGGTGGGAGGGCGTGTGTTGGTTGTAGGCAGATACTTTGGCATTTTATATAATGGACTTGAGTATGAGTAGATTTTGGTATCTTGAATGTGGGTCCTAGGCCCAGTTTCTTTTGGATTCCAAGGATCAGCTGTGTCATTGTGTCTTTCCTGAAATCCCTAGACCAGTACTTTGCTTGTATTCACTCTATAAACACTCTTTGGGGAGTACTGCAGGGTGTAGCTCAGTGGTAGAGTGATTGTCCAGCATGTGCAAGGCCTGGGTCCCATCCCAGTACTGGAAAAACAGTATACAGGGTATTTTTTTTTTTTGAAGGAGGAGATGAAAAAAATTATTAAAAATAAAGTGTTAGCAGTAAGAACATGGGATTATGATCTTCCATTTCTTTTCCTCCATCATTTTGTAATAAGCATCTATTAACCTTATAGTGATAAAACCAATAAAGATAATTATTTGAAAATATTTGGTGACTCACTAGAATTAGTCTCATCACCTCAAAGTATAAACTTATTTGCACCCTGCAACTTCTGAATCCCCCATCAGTGCTTAGCATGGAGCCAACAGGGAGAGTAAGAGGCCGATTTGAAATTGCTGTATGGAGTTCCAAGGAATAGACCTGGACCAATAGGCAAAGCTTCCAAGGAGAGAGATTTATCTGCAGCAGAAGGAGACTTTCCTTGCAGGACCTTCTAACACTGGAGTGAATCAAAGGCTCTCAGGGTGTCTCTCAAAGGCTGTCAGCAGCAGCAGGTGGGGAGGAAAAAAGCCTGTTGTCCCGAAAGTGGGGCCAATTATTGCACAGCAGGAGACCTGGTGCCTGGGAGGCAGGGCCAGCCTGGCCTAGCACGCTGAGATCTGGCAGAGGGTGAGGACAAAAGCCTTCAACTGCCACAGTGCCCTCACCCCTTCCTTTGGAGCAGCCAGGCAGGAAGGGGGAGAGGGGAGCGGGGTGCTGAGAGGCAGAGCTGCTAAACTGGAGGCACCGGTGGTCAGTGCTTTCCTTGCTTTTTCGACTGGTACTTCAAGAGTAGTTTTGCCTTCCCACTGTCCTGTCGCACTTCCGTTTCTCCAGTCCAGCCCTGGCACAGTGGAGAGTTGCCTGTCCTGTCCCCCAAGGCTCTGACCCTTCCTTCCCAGGGTGCCCCTGAGCTGTAAGTCTGAGTAGGGGGTACAGCTCAGGCCTCCCTGTCTCCCCACCCCAGGGATTTCAGCTGCATCCCTGACCAGGGTCTGGCAGAGGCGGATGGCCACCCAGAGAAGGGCTGTGAACTTTTCAGACCAGGTAGGAGCGGGGTTTGGGGATACCCCATGGGGTGGTGGAGAGCTCACTCGGGCACAGGCTGAGGAAGCACAGAAGCGAGTCTGCCCCAGAGCGGCCTCTCCACTTTTTCTGACCTGTGAGGAGAAGCTTCCCGTTGAGCCCAAAGGCACCAGCTTCCTCCTGCTGCTTTGTAAGCCATGTGTGATCAGGTACCACAGTGCTTTGGAGTTGAGAGGTAGGTGAAACCTCTCCATGTCTCAGATCTGTGAGGCCTGTCATCATGGGGTTCCCCTGGCTGTGGACAGAGCCAGGTGCTGTGTCAGGAGGGTGGGTGCCTTCACATTGAACTACATTCTTGGTACTTTTTAAAAATGTCATTTTGAGATAGTCTTGCTAAATAAATGGCTCAAGTTGCTCAGGCTGGCCTTGGACTTGAGATTCTTCTGCCTCAGCCTCCCCAGGTGCTGGGATTTCAGGCATGTGCTCCATTTCCTTCAACCCATCTTTGACTTTGTTGAACATGCCCTGAAAAAGTGAGGCGGCCGTCAGCCTGGGCTCTGGGCCTCCTGGTGCTTGGCCTGGGGAGAGTAAGGCCAGACAGCGAGGTGAACAAAGAGCCAGACCATTATTTATAAATGCTTCAACTCCACATTCTCTCCTTATCTAGAAGTCAAAGGTATCCATGTGCATGTCTAGGGATGTACACAGACCAGACGGAAGGTACAAAGGCCCTGTGCAGAGCACAGATAGCAGAAGACAATCATGAAATAGCCCCGAGGCCAAGCCTGGAAATTAATATAGCTTAGAAAAATCAGTTGAAGTAGTTCACTAGTTGGTCATCTCCTGGCAACCTTCAGCTTTTCCCTGGTTACAGACGCTATGAGACAAAACGGAGAAGGGAATTGCTAGGAGCTCCTGCCACACTGAGAGGTGCAGCAAAGGACAAGGCCAGGAAGGGGCAAGGAAGACAGGTGCGACCTCTGTCCCACACATACACACACAAGTCAGAATTCTGAGGGCATCGTTTGTGTATTTCTCTGGCAGTTATTTCCTGAGCACCTACTATGTTCCAGGATTGTCACAGGCAATAACAAGATGAGTAACTGGAGACCTGAAACAAGCTAGCATCCTACTAGAGGGAGAAAATAAACACACAGACATAATTTATTAAGAGTGGCAAATATTATGAAAACAAAAAGCAGAAAAATGGGAAAAGGCTACACAGGAAAGCCCTCTCTGGTAAGCTGGCACTGAGCCAGGGACTGAACGGAGAGTAAGCTGTGCAGACATCCAGGGAGAAAGTGTTCCAGACAGTCAAGGCCCAGCCGCTGTCCCTGAAGGGTGTGTGCCTGAAGGGTGTCCTTGGACAGGCAGCTTGAACAAGCAAGCAGAGCAGCCTGAAGTGAAGGCCACATCATTAGGGCTCGTGGTAAAGGCAGCCTCCAAACACGTCCCTGAATCATCAGGAAATGATAAATTACACTCAGCTACAGGCGTGGCAAGGCAAGGAGCTGTGTCATTCATTGCAGAAAATCTTCCAGCACGATGATCAAATTTATTTGTAAGTATTGGTTCTCGGTGTTCCATTGCTGGGAATGTTGCATGTGGGATGCACGAGGTACTTGTGTGTGGCGTGTATGGTGTGTATGTGTGATGTGTGGAGTGTGTGATGTGTGCATGCCTGGGTGTGATGTGTGTGTGTGTGCCCTGTGTGTGCTGTGTGTGTGTGGTGTAGGTGTGGGGTATGAGACGCAAGGGGGCAGAGAAAGGATGCTGCTGAGGAGATTTCAGCAGCCAAGGGGCCCTCGTTGGGGACAGGCTGGGGACAAGCAGCTGTCTGGAGAGCGCTGCTCGGGAAGGAGCACTCCCTATGGTACTGATCAGGTTGTCAGGTGCCTGGCGTCCTCCTCAGGTATAGCTCAGACTTTGGAACTGGTTTTTTGGATGACGCAGGTTGTTTCCGTTCTGAGAAGCAGCACCCCAGAAGGTGAGCAGCTTCTGAGACACAGGTGGACTGCGTGGGGCCGCTGAGGCCTGCCAGCACCAGGGACCCCATGCAGGGCTGTTCTGTGTCCTGAGGTTCAGGTGGCTTCCCCTGTGCCGGGGGAACTGGCACAACCTGTGTCCCTGGCAAGCTGTGGGTGCTTCACGTTCATGGTTCAGGTCCCCAAACTGCTGCCAGTCTTGGCCTTTCTGAGCTCTGGGTCCAGACTCTCATCCCTTTATCTCTCACAGTAGCCTGGGCTTTTTGCTTCTTCACACTGTTGGGGAGGGCTGGGGTGCCACTGTAGGAGGGGACTCCAGTTACTCTCCACAGTTGCCAAGCTGTGGTCATTCCAGGGGGGTTTGCTTCTGGTGCCTCAATTCTTCGACTTGATTCTGCTTGCAAGCCATTTTTTCCTCCCCGTGGAGGCTCTCCCAGGAGTGGGGAGACTGAGGCTGGTGGTGCGGTTAGGGAGTCATTGCTGGGATCAGCGCTGGGCTCAGCCTGAGGCTCAGGCTTGGTGGCTTGAAGGGGAAAAGTGGTCAGGACTGATCAAAACCCCAAACAGTTCACCATCCTAAGAGGAGAGATGAGAATGGGACCCAAGGGACAGAGCCAACACACTGCAGAGGCCAGGGCAGACGATGAAGGGCCTTTGGGAACAGGAAGCCCAAAGCGAGTCTCTAGTAGAAAATGGAGGCTGACATGGTGACGTTCTAGTACAGTCCTTGTGCCAGCTATAGGGGCATAGAAATGGCCAGGGCTTTCCAAAATACCAACAGGAAATGACACATCCTGGGATGCAGCCCAAGATTGCCAGCCCCTGGTTTGGGTAGCAGAGAACACAGCTTCACCTAAATAGGCCTTGTAGACAAGCAGGGTTCCCAAAGCATACCTGGATGTAGCCTGGAGCTGGGGCTCACTGCAGGGCGTGGCTGACCCACTGGAGAACTTACAGGGAGCCCAGCAAGCTGAAAGCCAGTGCCAAACAAGGGCGAGGGCCAGCCAAACAGAAGGTCCTAGAAGAAACTGCAGAGGGTAAAACTGGTGTGGGCCACAGAACCTGAGCAGGAGTGTTCAAAAGACCTGCCGTGTAGGTTCCCTAGAAGCCCCTCAAAGAGTAACAGGGCTGTGAGGAATGTTGGCATGTGCCCAAGGTGGGGTGAAATCTCCCCCCACCCCCAGACCTGTGCCTACCTTATGATAACCACCAGGCACTTGGGGATGCTGGGTATTTAAAATGTGGGTAGTGCAACTGAAGAACAGAATCTTTAATTTCATTTAATTTTCTTTGATTTACACTTTAAAGCAGATACTCTTTTCAGTTGGAAAACTTTTAGGAGTGTTTGGAAGAACTTCAATTTGTGGAATCCACAATCTCCAGCTCTTTTTATGTTTTAAATTTGAGACAGCATCTCACTAAAATTGCCCAGGCTGGCTTCAAACTTGTGGCCTTCCTATCTAGGCCTCCCTGGTAGCTGGGAACATACGTATGTACTACCATGCCCAGCTTACATGTAATTTTTATGAGCTCTCAAAACAGATAATGTGTATCTTATGAAAATTTAGTATCTAGATTGAATTTCACTGTAAAATATATACTAGACTTCTGATATAGAATCAAAGAAAGAAAAACACATCATTAGTTTTTTTTTTTTTGTCTTTTTCCTTTTTACCGGTACCAAGGATCGAACTCACGACTGCCTGCTTGCAAGGCAGGTGCTTATGCCGCTGAGCTAAATCCCCAGCCCCTGTTTTTTTTTGATGGGGGTGGTCCCAGGACCACACTTGCCAGGCATCTTCATTAATTTTGGGGTTGCAAGGATTATATATATAGTATATATACAATATCTGAAACCCAGGGCCTTGTGCATGCTAACTAAGCATGCCCTAAAATTATTTTATTTTCAACTGTTCTCTTTTATGTTTTTCATGTAGCTGCTGAAACATTTTAAATTACACATGTGGCTTGCACTCTGTTTCACTGGAAAGTGCTGGTGCTCACACTGCTCTGTGATTCCTGTCTAGAGCACTAGGAGATAAGGAAAGTTACACAGACAGAGAAGAATGTACCTGTACATCCCAGTTCACCTTCACTTCAGGATGAGTCCCTGCTGCAGAGCTGTCGGTTCCTAATTCATGATCATCAGTAGGGATGGGACACCTCCCCGCATGTGCTTGTACCATCCTTATACCATCCTTCAAATCAAGGTCAATATTGTCTTCAGCATCTTCTCTTTTAGAAATCCCTTCTCAGCTCTCACTGTGATGAAAATGGGTTTTGGAGGAGGGGTAGAACAATGGCGGCGGGAAGCCTTTTACTCCCCTGAAAAGGAGAGGGATTAGTTCCAGTCTGTTGCTTTTGGTGTTTTGTCTTTGTCCTGTTAAAGCCAGAATGACAAATAGGTCTCAGCTCTAATGCCAGTTCAGAATCTGTGGAAGTAGCGAGCTGGGGCATTGTGGTGAGAAGGATTCTGAAGCTATATTTAGGCAGAGTGGAAAGAGCCTGTGATCGATTAGTTATGTCTGCAAAGGGTTTGGAAAGAGGCTGTAGAACATGTTCCTTGTAGTTACTAATCCTGCATTAGATGAAACTGTCTTCCTGGGGTGATTTGTCTCCACACTGGAGATTGGTTATGCTTTAAGATACTGGGCACTGTGAAGAATCAGGAATGAAGCTTCCATGGGGTGAGTCATGGGCAGAGGAGACGGTGGTCATCTCCTGGACCAGATCCTGACTAAGGAGATGTGAATGATTTTATGAAGCCCTTCTGTCAGGAAAATCTCATCTTCCCTGGCCTTATGTAGTGGAGGGGACCTTGACTGTCGCCCGGGACCAGCCTCAAGGAGGCAGAGCCATAATCCCAAGAAAGGCAGGAACTTGAAAGGTTTGGGGCATAAGGGTAGACTGGCACTTGTTCTTTTTCTCCTCTCCTTAAAAGCAATTGCTGTAGATCTGAGAATATTTCTGGCTTTTTGGTGCCATATTTCTGCTTATGATTTTGGGATGCTGTTTGGGGGTAGTGATTATGAACAC